AGGAAATCCCCCCCCGACCCTGGGAGGAAGGCCATACTGCAATCCCTTCTCCTCCATTCTCTCTGGATTTGGGGCATGTGCACATGTATCTGGTGTGCTTTTTAAGCTACCAGGACCAAAACCACAGTTAGCTACGTGGGAGTCCAGTGCCTTAACTATATACCACTACTGGTCTCACAAATTCCCTTTTTAATGCCAATAAACAAAAGAATTAAAATCTTAATTTTATTTTTTAGTTAGCTACAGGCATATGAGCTCATGGTAGGGGAAAGGGTTGCAGGGGGTGGGGGACAAAGAGAAAGAAATAATCCCTCCCGATGGGGATAGCCATGCCAAAATCCCTTCTCCTTCTCTAGAGATTTTGCATACACATGGACATATGCTGGTATGTTTTTCAAGTTGCTGGGTCCAGGACTTGAACAGCACAGTCTCTCTTTCTGGCGAGTGCATGCGCCCTATAGCAAAAACCTCTCCAAAAAAACCAAATTGTTTATTTATTAGCACTCCCCCCGACCCCAACTTGACCAGAGACACAGAAAGAGAGACCGTGACAGCGAGAAGTGAGAAAGCAAGTCACCAGGTCTGGAACTTGAACTAAGGTGGGCCATATGGGAGTCTAGAGCCTCAACCATCATGCCATCTGCCAGTCCCTCAAAAGATCTTTTACCTAAAAACTAGATAAACTGGCTGGTTTCACTGCACAAGGGTTAAGTCCTGTACACAGTGAGCCTGATCCCATATAACCAACTATAGTTCAAATCCTAGACCCAGTAGCTTGAAAAACAAACTGGGTACGTGTGCATGTGCACCCCAAATCCTGATTAGATGGGAGAAACAAAGGAAAAAGAATTGTGGTGTGACCATACCCCATTGGGAGGGTGCTTTTGCTCTCTCTCTCTCTGGCACGTGTATGTGCCCTCTGAACACTTAAAACGCACACACACAAACCAAGACTAAACTAAATAGAAAACAGTGATATGCTTGGATAAATTTTAAATTTTTGAAAGTAACTAAAAGGATAAAGGGAAGAGGAAAGGATATGCAATTTGAGATACTTTTTCCTGTGGTCCATTATTTAGTTACAAATTAATCCTACTTACATCATTAGACTTGCATTTTTCTTTGAAAGAATATATAGTCCATTCCAAAAGCATATTTACTGGTTTGGTTAAAAGCCCAGAGGTCTCATTTCCTGACCAAAAGATTTCAAGAAGAATTGCCTTTCCTGTCATCTTCTGAGAATCTGTCCAGTTGTACAATCTAATGAAAACATGAATAAACAGTAAATCTTTAAAAAAAACAGTAAATATTATAATTTGATCAAAAGTAGTTATTAAACATACCTTTTGTGGAAAAAAAAAACAAAAAACACTAGCAATTTTTAAATAGGAAGAACACATAATATATAAAGATTATAGCATATAATCATAATAAAGGACAAAACATAAATGATAGTCTTAGTTCAACAGAATTACCAATAACCTGGACCAGTAGGGGCATAATGGTTACATTGCTGGACTCCTATGTAGTCAACCACGGTTTGAGTCCTGGACACAGAGACTTAAAACTCACACCAGGCACGGGACTAGTGGATGACATAATGGTTACGTTGCTAGATTCCCACATAGTTGACTGTGGTTCGACATGTGCCCCAAATCCTGAGAGTAGAGTGAAGGAGAAGGAATTGCATGGTAGCTATGGGGGGGGTGAGTTCTTGCTTTCTGCCTCTCTGTCTCTCTTTCTGTCTCTCCAGCGAATGTGAGTGCCTTATAGCAAAAATCTCTCTTAGAAAAAAAAAATAATTGGGACAGCAGTTAGTGTAATGGCTATGTTGCTGATCTCCCATGTAGCCAACCAGAGTGCTGGTCCCAGGCCCGGTGGCTTAAACTCATGCTGGGCGCGTGTGCGTGCTTGCCCAAGATCCTGAGAGGAGAATGGATTGCAGAGTGGCCATCCCTTGGAGGGAGGGGGGTGATTTCTCGCTTTCTTCTCCCTGTTTCTCTCTTTCTAGCGAGCGCATGTGCCCTATAGCAAAAACCTCTCTAAAAAAAGAAAAAAAAAAATTCACACTAGTGCATATGCATGCGTGCTCAAGATCCTGAGAGGAGAATGAAGGAGAAGGGATTATGGCATGGTCATCCCCCCCAGGGGCCCATTTCTTGCTTTCTGTCTCTCTGGTGAATGTATGTGAACTATGGCAAAAAAAAAATCTCTCAAAAAAAATTTAACAGCAATATATACAACTGTAATCTATCTCCAAGTTTAGGGCATAAGCAAAATTTATCAGGGGTATTATACACAGTATTTAAACCTAGAACTTACAGCTTTTTACTTAAACATTCAAGTACTAAAAAATTAAATACATAAATCCTGAAAATGAAAAATAAAAATGTAAACTGAGGAAATACAAAAAGGTCATATGAAACTTCGATGCTACTAAAGGAGTGTCTGGAAATGAGTTCATAAAATAAATGTATTTTAAAATAGAAAACAAGATAATTTCTTAAAAATATCTACATAAATATTATAAGTATGGTATATAAAAGCAAGAGAAATATAGAAAAATGTGGGGTTTTTTGTGATTAGAACTTACTTTTGACTCAGATGTTGTACTTCGCTTTCAACTAAATTTAAAAAAAATTTGAGCAGTGTCAGGTGGAGTACCTTAGAGTCAATAATATTTTTCGAAATTTGATGACAGAAACTTTCGTTGAAAAGGCAAGACCTGAAAAACATGAACCCAACAATCTATAATGTACAAGCAATTCAACGAGTTATTTGTGGACAAAGATTTTTGTGTTTGTGTGTGTGTAGAATACTGTTGGAATTTTAATAAGATTTTCAACAAAATCTAATGCAAGTTCAACAAATTTTTATTAATGTTTCATCCTTTAAAAGTCAATCCATGTTGGGCCATTCCCATAGCACAGTGGTTAAAAGCCATGCAAAAGGAGCCAGATCCCACATGGCCAATTGAGGTTCCAATTCCGGTCTTAGAAGCTTGAAAAAACATGCTGGCACACGTGCAAGAAGAGATGGAAAACAGGATTGGGTGTGAGTAGGCCCCATTGGGAAATATTTTTTTTCTCTCTCTCTTTCTCTCTCTGGCATTAAGAAGAGAAGTTGTCATATTGAATATTTCATGACTACTTAAGTCTTATAATACAAAATTCCTTTATTTATCAATGACTGTAATATTTAACAACTATTAATTTCTCTGCCTTTCTAGTCTTTATTTCACTAAGAACAAAGAATCACAAATTTTATCAAGTACGTTCTTCCAAACAACCAATTTACAATGCTTGCCACAATCCTTTTATTTTTTAATCCGAGATTATTTTCTTTTTCATTATTTAATAAATGAAGGTTATTTAGGGCTACTGTTTTTGAGTTTTTAAAATTTAGTCTTTTATTTCCTTTTTATCTTCCATAGAAAGATCTGTCAAAAAGAATTTTCTAGGATGAAGGATATGTTCTATGGGACACTTGAAAGGTAACTTGTGCACCTGAGGACCTAAAATTTTAATTAGTTAGTCTTAATTAAATTTAAACATAAACAGAGACATGTTCCAGTGGCTACTGGGTTAGACGGCACAGTTTCATAGTATATTTTAAAAGAGAACGTAAGATTAGTCAGAACATTAAGAGTGTAAGTAACTCTATTAATTATAAATCTCCCAACTTCCTTATTATATCAACAATGAACTTGTAATTTTCTACCTGGCTCCAATTATGCTATCCTCTTGAATACCACATTCATAGTGGCTATGAATTTTTTTAAAGAACTATTTATTTATTAATTAAGCATTCACTAAGTTCCATTTGTTATTATTTATAATTTGACCAGAGACAGAGAAGGAGAGAAAAAGAAAGTGAGAAAGCAAGTCATGAGGTCTAAGACTCAAACTGCAGTCAGCCATGTGGGTATCTGGCACCTTTAACCACTATGCCACCTGCCGGCCCAGTGGCTATTAAATTCAACAATTTATTTAATACTTAAATCTGTTCTATAAGATCCCCCACCCCCATATACTTAATTACTTGGTCTGGAAACTGCTATAGATAGGTAACATAGCTTCTTTTCTAAAAATATGGATTATGAAATATTTCAAATATATATAAAAGTAAAGAGACTAATATAATAGCTAATTTGTACTCTTACCTTAAAATTTTTTTTTTTTTTTTTTTTGCTATAGGGCATGTGCACTCGCCACAGAGACAGAAAGAAGAAAGTCACCTCCCAAGAGGGATGGCCATGCCACAATCCCTCCTCCTCTAATTTCCTCTCAGGATTTTGTGCATGGATGCCTGGCATGAATTTTTAAGCCATCAGGTCCAGGACTTGAACTATAGTCAACTATGTGAGAGTCCAGAGATGTAATCATTATGCTATCTGCTGGTCCCAACTCTTACCATTTTTCTAGTCACCTTATCTTTTAAGACTCCATGAACTCAATTTTTTTTTTTTTTGAGAGGTTTTTGCTATAGGGCGTGTGCGCTTGCCAGACAGACAGAGAGACAGAAAGCGAGACCCCCCCCACCCAGGGGGGATGGCCATGCCGCAATCCCTTCTTCTCCATTCTCCTCTCGAGATCTTGGGTACGCACACACACGCCTGGCGTGAGTTTTTAAGCCACCGGGTCCGGGACGTGAACCGCAGTCGACTATGTAGGAGTCCAGCAACATAGCCATTATGCTAACTGCTGGTCCCTGAACTCAAATGTTTTGAAATTAAACCTGGGTATTACTGTTTAATAGTATACCTACTTTGAGGCTGCCCAAATTCTAACTCCTGTAGCATGGATTAATGCATTCAAAATTAAACATTCACTAAGTTCCAAGCATTATAGTAGCTACTGGGGATGGAAATGTTTAAGACTGAGCACCCAGTCTTAATGACTTTCTTAATGAAGTTGAGTCCCAAACTCAGTGACTTGAAACTCATACCAGGTGCAAGCATGTGCATGCCCAGAACCCCAAGAGGAGAACGGAGTAGAAGGGATTGTGGAGCGGCCATCCCCTCTTGGGGCTGATTTTTACTTACTGTCTCTCTGGTGAGTACGCATGCCCTGTAGCAAAAATCTCTAAAACAACAACAATAATGAAAGTCATAAGCTGACATGAGTGACAAGCTTAGCTCAAAGGAAAGAAAAATTTCCTTTAAAATTCAATTAGGAAGTGACATCTGAGTTGTACTTTAAAGGATAACTAGGAGTTGGTCTGATATTTGTGAGATGGCATACAAGGAGGTAGAATATATACAGGCAGAGAAAACATAAAAGCAAAGGAATAGGAAATAGAAAATAATCACTGGATACATTTGGAGAGTGATGACGATGAAAAGGAAGACATAGAAAGTTTTTTTTTTCTTTTTAAAGAGAGATTATTGCTACAGGGTGTGTGTGTGTGCTCATCAGAGAGAAAGAGAAAAATAGAAAACGAGAAATCACCCCTCCCCTCCACCCAGGGAAGATGGCTATGCCTCAATCCCTACTCCTCCACTCTCCTCAAGATTCTGAGTGCACAAACACACACGCCCGTTGTGAATTTTAAGCCAGACTTGTGGTCCCGGACTTGAACCACAGGCGATTATGTGGGAGTCCAGCGATGTAACCATTATGCCATCTGCTGGTCCTATAGAGGGTTAAATCATGAAGGGTCTTACATGTTTTGCTAAGGAACTTAAATTGTCTTCCATAAGGGACACATGAGTCATTGAAGAACTTTAATCTGGGAAATGACAAGATCACATAGGAAAGAGCGTACTGGGGCACTATAGAAGAGAAAGAAAAAAAGTTGAATCAAGATTAACAAAGCAAAGGTAATGGTAATGAAAGAAGGAACAGATTTGGAAATTTGGAAGGATGCAAAGTCACATAAACGGTGTTCCCTTACACTCTATACCTTTGCTAGTACAGTGCTACTGTATTGATACTGTTTTTGCATCTTAGTTCTCGTGAAAGCACAGTATTTTATTCATGTTTCATCCCTGAAATGTAGTATAGTGCCTGGTTCCCAGTAAGTACTCAATAAACATTTGTTGAAAGAATACATACATGCTAGCCAGTTAATTCACTTGCTTCGAATACTATAGTACCTTGGTATCTATAGGATATTGGTTCCAAGACCTCCCATGCATGATATTTGCATGTGATCTATGTACATCCTACCCTATACTTTAAGTTATCTCTAGATTACTTATAATATCTGATACAATATAAATGCTATGTAAACAGTTGTTAAATTGTACTGGATTTATTTTGCCAGAGGGCACAGGTTATTGCCAGAGTCAGAGGCAGAGACAGATAGACACACACACACAAACACACACACACAAAGAGATAATGAGAGAGAATCTGTGAATGTGAAACTTATAAAGAGCCAAATATGTATCACAAATCAAAGGTGAATCCTTATTATTTCAAAGAGCTAACCAAAGGCTTAGCCTTTGCCTGGCTAATGAAGTGTCCTTTCTCATTACCACAGACTTCCTAAAACTAAACAGTTAAATTAAAAAAAAAAAAAATCTTCTGAAAGAAGGACTGTCAGATACAGAGAGCTATCAGAGTAGACAAGGGAAAACAGTTCTGTTAGGGAGAAGCAGGAAGGATATCCAGAGACAGTTAATACTTGGAAGACAAAGGAAGGGTGTAGGCATATGACAGCATGTGATGAGGCATGAAAAAGATGGCATATTTAGAAAACATTAAGTTCTATTTCAAAATTCAAATTTCTAGCTGAAAAAAAATAACAGAAACTCTAAATATATATTTCATAGTTATAAATGTTTATACTATCAATAACAAAAATTTGGTGATATACATATTTAATATATTAATCTTTCTCATTTTAAAAACAATAAGCAAACTTAGAATTCTGCTTTAAGTTTTTTTAAATGTGGCTTTCTAGTTGAGTCCATCTCATATACACTCTGAACTTTAAACAGTTTGATGAGTGTTCAATATAAACTTGTCCTTTGTGTTTTGCAATAAATATAACACACAAAAATATAGCACACATGCATTTTCTAAAAAATAGAAATTATATTTCATCAGTACCTAAAAAAATACATAACTACTACTAGATAAAATTTAGTATCCTTATATGTGAAATCCTTACCTGATAAGCACTTCTACTAGAGACCATGCACCTTTCATACAAGTAGGACACTGAAACAGCTCTAAGTAATATCTTGACATGGCTGGGGACTTCCAAGGAGGATGCAGGTGAAGAAGAGCTGACAATATATGAAAGTAGCGACCAGAAAACGTATCTATGTTATCCTATTATTTAAAAATAAATAAACAAATAAAACACTGTAGCTAAAAGTACAGGTTTACTAGCTACTTCGGTCTAAAACTAGAATAACCCTGGTCTAGCTTTCTTGCCAAATATAAGAATTTGAGCAAAGGAGATCAGATGGAAGTATCATGTTTAGTCAATTAAATACTGCAAATGAGTGAAGGGCACACTCCAAAAATGTATCTATGCATTACGTAATCCTAGCTATTAGAACAAGCTTACATGAAGTGTTCATTTTCCTTTTCATGATTATAGTGAGATTAGGAGTTCTCAAATGTCATCTGAAAGGAACTAAATTTAAGAAAGTTTCATGAAACATTAATTTGACACAGCTTATATCTGCTATGTTTTTCACCTGGTACCTTGATAAAGAACATGATTAGAAAGCCACCTTTTTTTTTTTTTTTGAGAGGTTTTTTGCTATAGGGCACGTGCGCTCGCCAGACAGACAGAGAGACATAGAGACAGAAAGCGAGAAATCACCCCCCAGGGGGGATGGTCATGCTGCAATCCCTTCTCCTCCATTCTCCTCTTGGGATCTTGGACACGCACGCACACGCGCCTGGCATGAGTTCTAAGTCACCGGGTCCAGGACGTGAACCGCAGTCGACTATGTGGGAGCCCCGCGACATAGCCATTACGCTAACTGCTGGTTCCCAAGAACATGATTAGAAAGCCACCTTTGAATAGCTGCTCCTATTGTTTTTCACAGTTTAAGAAGTATGTTCATTCCCTATGTATACTATAAATAAAAATAAGTATTTTCAATAAAATAAGAGGGTAATTTACCAAATGGCATTCTAGGTCACTATAATATGATTTTTGTTAGATATTTTACTGCCATGAAAAAAAATCAGATAACGTTTTTTCTTCCAAGGGAAAAGTACTTTGGAAATTCTGAGAAACTAATAAGCTATAGCATTTAGAATAGTACCTATTGTATAATTTAAAAAATAGAAAAGTGGTAACAAATGGGTACTGAATTTCCTACTAAAATGGAAAAAAGAACACCACTGGAAAAACAAAATAAACTGCAAAACAAAAAATTAGAAAATGTTCACATTTTAATATTTTTTAAAAAAGAGTATAAACCCTTAAGATAGCTCTTACCTGTAGAACATTCTCTAGAAGAGCATGTAGAAGGCATACAGGAGGGATATAACGTGCTTGCAAAGAGGCAAGTTCCTCGATTGCTTCTTTAAAAAATTGTCCTTCTATGAGGCTTTCAATTAAATTTAATACACCTCTGGGAAATTCAGCATTTTTAACCTAAGAAAGGAAAGATTCAATGACTCAAAGAGGAGAAAAGGTGAAATTCTGAGATCAAATTTTAAATTAATAAGGAGTTTTAGTTTCCTCATCTGGAAAATAGAGATAATTCATGCCCTTACTACTTGACAGGGCTGTTATGTGGTTCAAAAGCTTGATGTATAGGGATGTTTTACAATGATAAGGCATTGAAAAATATATGATTAATTTTTATATTTATTATTGTCTATAACATTAAATAATAAGGGATAATACTAGCTCCAAAAGAAAAGCTTTAAAAGATATTTGTAAATGTTGATTTTAAGAGAGACGTTAGTAAGAGCTACAAGTAAAAGGTTCTATAGGTGAAAAATTATTTATGATTTTTCTTTTAAACTTGAAGCAAACTATGTCTATTAAAAATATCCTAAATACATAAAAAAATCATCAAGCAAAATCAATGTTTGCCAGAAGTAACAATGTGATTAGAGAATCAAATTACTCTTAAGTCTCACAAAATAACCTTGGTCAAAATGTTTTTAATAAAAGTAACTACTGTGAATTAGTTGAGAGTCAAAAACACTCTGAAAAGCTACACAGAATAAAACAATTTTAAATAAATAAATGCATAAAATAAAACATTTTTATAATTACTATATTAAAATTTAATCTTAAAGTAGTAATTATGAAAGTTATGAACTATGAAAACAGGGATCTGTATTTCACCTGTCATGACTACAAAGTTTTTAATATTTATGATCAGCTTTACTACTCTAGAATTGTATTTTGAGATTTTAGAACAGTTTTTTTCCTTTTTTATTTATGATTAGAGAAACTGATTTCAAATTTAAAAGGAAGTTTGGTTGTAAAAAATCAAATTAACAAAATAGAAAGCTTTTTTTGCCACCCTTACCACCCTCCTTCAAAGTCCCTTACCTCTACATTGTATACTGGTTGTTTTTCTATTCTAATGCAGTTGTATCTGACAGCCTACAAAACAACAATCACATAATTAAAATTTAACATTCCTTGGTTAAAAAAATACAATTCAGCTTACAAAATATAAAACCCTGTTCAAACATACAAAACATACTGAAGAATATATTAATAGCTATAATTAATCTGATACTCATATTAGCTCCAACTAGTGACTTTCACCATTTTTAGGGTAATGGCATGTTCCTGAGAATGAGTATTATCTATTTTTCACTATTTGAATTAAAATAACTTAAAAGCTAAGGTTAGGTTATATTCACTTTGAAGATCTAAAGAGATCATTTGTCCTTAGCATTTATATTATATAAACAGAGAGAACATTTTTTATAAGGGTCCACAGAAGGAAAAAAAAATGAATTATTAATGTTATCATGCATACTTTAATTCTGATGAGCACATATAATTAAACCAACTAGTGAAATAACCTGCTACACTACAGAATTTAATTTCACAATGAACAAGTTCGATTTTTTCTTTTTTTCTATTTTTCCATCTGTCAAGTGTTTACTTCCCTTGTACCACACATCCACCCTCCACCATCTGCTCTCTACCATCCACTGTCCCCCCATAATGTCTCTAGCATATATACCCATCCTCTCCACCATCACATTTTCATGTCTCTCAACCTCTGCTATAGCACTCAATACAAACTGAGTAGGGATACGTAATGTGTATCTTTCAAGTCTGGCTCACTTCGCTCAACATTATGTCTTCTATAGCCATCCAATCTGAGTGAAAAGATAGGCTCTCATTGTATTTTACAACTCAGTAATATTCCATAGTACATATGTGCCTGTTTTTCAACTTAGTCATTAGTGTTTGGACAGTTAGGTTGGTTCCATGTTTTAGCAATTGTATATAATGCTGCAATAAACATGGATATACAGATGTCTTTCCAATTGTTTTCCAGAGGTTGGACTAATTTGCATTTCCACCAAAACGGTAAGAGAGCTCCCTTTTCACCAGTCTTGTCAACAGTCGTCACTTTTTATTTTTTAATATTAGCCATTTTGAATGGGATTAAATGATATCACATTGTAGTTTTAATTTTCATTTCCCTTATAACGATTGTCTTTGAACATTCTTTCATGATCTTGGTTATTCAGAAGTCTTCCTTGGAGAGCTCTCTACACAATTCATTTGCCCATTTTTAATTGAATTATCCATTTTCTTTTAAATGGGTGAACTGTGTGAGAACCTTAGATATTGTAGATACTTTGTCTGAGGAATAATTTGCAAATATTTTCTCTCATTCCGTGGGTTGTCTTTTCACTCTAGTTTTAGTTTCCTTTGCTGTGAGGAAACTTTTTAGCTTGTTGTAGTCCCAATTGTTTACTTTAAAGACCATTGCCTGTGTTTTAGGGGGGTCTGATTTAAGAAATCTTTGCCTATTCAAATGCCTTCAAAAGTTTCTCTTACATTTTCTACTAGTAGTTTTGTAGTTAATCTTTATATTTAAACCTTTGATCCATTTTGAGTTAATTCTAGTTAATGGTAAGAGATAGGGGTCCAGTTTCATTTTTCTGCAGATGGATACCCAGTTCTTCTAACTCTGTTTGTTAAAAAGACTTTTTCTCTACTGCATTGTTTTATATCCTTTATTAAAGATCTGATGACTATATGATTTGGGATTTATTTCTGGATTCTCTTTTCTGTTCCACTGGTCTATATATCTATTTTTTCCTAGTACCATGCTGTTTTGATTACCACTGTTTTATAATATACTTTAAGGTTGGATAGTGAGATGCACCCAATGCTTTTTGTTTTTGGTACAGTACTGCCTTGACAATATGAGGTCTTTTTTGTTTCTACAATTTTGTAATTTTTTTTTTCTTTTTCTTTTCCTTTTTTAAAAGAGATTTTTGCTATATAGGGCATGTATGCTTGCCAAAGAGGCAGAGAGACAGAAATCGGGAAATCACCCCCTACAGTGGGGATGGCCACACCGCAATCCCCTCTCCTCCTCTCTCTCCTCAGGATTCTGGGCAACATGGACACAGTCCCAGTGCGAGTTTTAAGCTGCTGGGTCTGATATTAAAACCACTGTCAACTACACATAAGTCTAGCAACATAACCATTATGCTATCAGCTAGTCCATGTTTTTTCCTCTGTCTGTAAAGAATGTCTCAGGTAATTGGATATGTCTGCTAAAACCTATAACTACATGGTAAAAGCCTGGTGAAGGCTAGCATGAAAGTTCAAAACTGTTTGGAATCAAAGATAGAAGATGACTTTCTACCTACCAGCAGGATCTTTTCTGAGAACCTCACTGGGTGCTCATGCTAAAGAAAGCCTCCCTTAGAGCCAGGTTTGGGAAGGTGAACTACAGCTCTGTGGGAAAGACAGCAAACTCTATTGTCCCTATAGAACAGTTGATAATCAAGAATCTGAGAGATAAAGGGAAAGAAAAGTACTGGAAAAGATATTGGCTCCAAATCATTAGAGTTCCTACCATCAAGGTGGGAAATAGGGGTAAAGTAAGAGCACGGAGAAAGTCCTACCCTCAAAATCCAAAAATACAAGGCCTAAGAGTAAGAATGAGGCAGAACCAGGATAACTGAAAGGAGACCCTCTATCTCTTACCCTCCAACATCAGACTAGCAAACATCCAGCAAAAAGTTACAATACTCTATAAACACATAATTAAACTGTAACAGTATTGAGTAATAGCATAGAAGTCAGCATATTTATTAAAGGTACAAATAGATTACTGTTCATAATAAGATGGATTAATGAACTAAGTAAGTTATTTTAAGGCATACTGAACATATTAACGAAAGATAATTCTGATTGCACTTGAGAAACATAGGACATTATACAAAATCTCAAGTTTTACCTGAGCTTTATATATGTGCTTCCTTAAGGCATTTTTTATTTCAACAATATCCACATCTGTCCTGAAGTCCTTGGTTTCTGCTTCTTTGGCATAATCAATGAAAGCAGAATTCTTAGTTTCTTTCTGTATATATGTAAAAGAACTTTAGACAATGGACTAAACACAATGTCAACACAAATAATATCACAATAGACAAAATAATGAGAGAAAAACACTTAAACATAGGTGCTTCTAAAAGTTTATGAAAAAAGGAAATAAAGTTCATTTTGGCACCAAAAAAAGTTAAAATCCATGCATAGTTTTTTTTTCATAATACACACTTTGCATGATCTTTTTAAAGATACTTCCTAATATACTAACCACAGCAAAAACCGTCACAGTCATATTATTGAGATTACACATAAAATAAAAAGTTTACAAAGTATTTATTTCAGTTTGGGAATTTTTACCTGATATTCACATATATACTGTTTTTTTTTCTTATAGAAATTTTTGCTATAGGGTGTATATGCTCGCACAAGAGACAGAAAACGAGAAATCACCCCCCAGGGGGTTGGACATGCTGCAATCCCTTCTTCTCCACTTTCCTCTCAGAATTTTGGGCATGCATGCACACACACACCATGGTGTGATTTTTAAACTGCCAGGTCTGGGACTTGAACAGCAGTTTCCCATGTGGGAGTCCAGCGACATAACCATTACACTATCTGCTGGCCCCAACACATATATGCTTTCTAAAGGAACTTTTCATTTAAACTATTCCAAATTGTTATTGGAATCGTCCCTCACTCTTTACTGCATTACACAAAACAAAATTGATCAAAATTATTACCTTTTTCATTTGTTTGAAGGTACATAAACATGTTGTGGTTTAGACTGTAAAATAAAGTTATATTCTAGAAAAAATGTAACCAAGAAAGATACGACCATGCCACCTGCTGGCCCCAATGCTTATCAATATTAAAATGGATAAGAGATAAAACTATGACAGTCTAAAAATAAAATATCATATACATCAGTAAAAAAAGTAGAAAAACAGCATGCACTAGAAAATGCTCATGAACAGGCAATGTACTCTTAGAGATACACACAAAATTGGTAAAACTATAACAAAAATGTGAAAAATAATACAAATTCTAAGATAAAGGATACTTTTGGGTAAGAAGTAAAGAAGATGTTAAAAAATATGGACCAGCAAATGGCATAATGGTTACATTGCTGGGCTCCCACATACTGGACCGTGATTCCGGTCCTGGACCTAGTGCCTTAAAACTCATGCCAGCCATGAGTGTGACCAAGATTCCAAGAGGAGAATGGAGAAAGGATTGTGGTGTGGCCATACACCCGGGGACTGGTGTCTCACTTTCTGTCTCTATCCAGTGAGCAAAAATCTCTCAAAAAACAAAAAAGCAATGTTTTTTAAAAACTTGTAATGATACTTCTTAACCTAGCTGGTGGGTACCTAAGCACTTATTACTGCATATTTTTAAAAATAATACACATTTTATAAGTGCTTCTCTACATATATCTTCAGAAGAAAGAAATTCATGAATAGCATTATATTGGGTTGTTGAAAAAGTCATGATGTATTTTTTTCTATGCAAAAATGTGTCATGACTTTTCAGATGAGCAAGTATTTGGTCGATTTAGAAAGCTATAAAGTCTAATTTTTTAAAAAGAATTATTTTATTGAACTTTATTTATTTTAATTTGACAAGAGAGGGACAGAGAGAGCAAGAGAGAGAAAGTGAGAAAGCAAGCCATCAGGTCTGGAACTTGAACTGTGGTCGGCCATGTGGGAGTCTAGCACCCTTATCTACCACGCCACCTGCCAGACCCTAAAGTCTAATTACTTTTAATGTGAAAAGTTTTACCTGGTTTCCATAAATATGCCTCTCTAAGGTATTTCTCATTTTAGCAACTCTCAAATCTTTACTGGAGTCTATGAATTTTACTTTTTAGAGATATTCAATCAAAACAGAACTAACATTAACATTTTCTTCATGATTCTAAATTTCTTTCTGCATGTTTGTAAAAATACTTTAGTAAACTGTGGATTAAATATAGGCAAGTCATAACAACAACAAAAAAATACACTTGGGAAGGTAGGTTATGTAAAACATACATACAAGATTAAATATAGTAAAGAGCTCTGTGCTTTCTATCACATTTTATTTATCCTAAGATAAAGCACAAGAAAACACATGCTTTCTATTGTGTTTACATATATGAATATTTAGGTTACCTATACAGTTAATTCAGAGTAAGAAGTATTATAAACCATATGTTTATTCATTTTACTGAGAAATCTATTTTTAAAAAGAGAAATTTCTATCTGAATTTTATACTTCTAAAAGAAACCAAGTTCTTTCTAAAGGAACTCAAGAAAATCTATGTCAATGTAAAATGTATGTCAATGTAAAATGTATGTCAATGTATTTGCATAATTTTGAACTGAGCAAAGTAGTTGTACTTATAATCCCAGCTACTTGGAAGGCTAAGGCAGTAGAATCTTAAGTTCAAGGCCAGCCTAGGAAACAAAGCAAGAATCTCTCTCTAAAAATAATTTTTTATAAAACAGTAATTTCAGAACCAGCAGGTGAAGTGGTAGCTAAGTTGCAGAGTCCCACATGGCCAACTACAGTTTGAGTCTAAGTATTAATGGCTTGCTTTCTCACTTTCCCTCTCCCTCTGGTCAAATTTTTAAAAAAGTACATAATAATAATAATGACAATAAATAAATTTAAACAAATAATTCTTTTAAAAAACAATAATTTTTATATCTTTAAAGAAATCTCTATTTTATTTTTTCTCATATTAAGTCATAAACTCATTTTAATAACTTTATCATTAGTTTATATTCCTTTATGTAAGAATACTGTGTTCTGTGGTTTTCAATACAAATTTCAAGAAACATGAACTGAAAAAGCCTCTTACTAAAACATATGCATTTATAATAATTAATCACAGAAACTAGTCTTACAAGTCATATAAATATCAATTATATTTTTGCTAAACCAGAGAAAAAGCACAAAAATATTTTAAGTTTGAAAAGTTTTAGCTAATTTAGTCACATATGATTTAAGAGACTACAATTTTATAAGTTCCAAATCATTCCTAGAATTCTTTTTTTAATTGTCAAAGGGCAAGGGTGCTTACTAGAGAGAGAAAGCCAGAGAGAGAGAGAGAGAGGAAGGAGAAAGGAGGAGGGAAAAGGAGAAAGGATCCCCTAGTGGAATAGGGTCACACTACACTCCCTACTCCTACTTTCTATTCAAAAAGGATTTTGAGCATGTGTGCTTATGTGCCTGGCATGTTTCTCAAGGTACCAGTGCCACCAGTGGCTTGACATGTGGATCTAGCCAGCTCCCTTAAACACTGTGCCGTAAGACTAGCCCTCTAGATTTCTCTATATATTTTTTGGAGAGGTTTTTGCTATAGGGCGCGTATGCTCGCCAAACAGAGAGAGACAGAGAGACAGAAAGTGAGAAATCACCCCCCAGGGGGGATGGCCATGCCACAATCCCTTCTCCTCCATTCTCCTCTCAAGATCTTGGGCACACATGTACACGTGCCCAGTGTGAGTTTAAGCTACTGGGTCTGGGACTAGTACCGTGGTCGACTACCTGGGAATCCAGTGACATAGCCATTACTCCAACTACTGGTCTCTAGATTTCTCTTTTATTAAAGGTATCTGACACATAGAGTGAAAACCAAATTTAGTTTGAATATTTTTGAGAGGTTTTTGCTATAGGGCGCGTATGCTCGCCAAACAGAGAGAGACAGAGAGACAGAAAGTGAGAAATCACCCCCCAGGGGGGATGGCCATGCCACAATCCCTTCTCCTTCAGTCTCCTCTTGGGATCTTGGGCACACACGCACACACGCCCGGCATGAGTTTAAGTCACCAGGTCCAGGACTTGAACCGTGGTCGACTACATGGGAGTTCAGCGACATAGCCAATATGCTAACTGCTGGTCCCTTGAATTTCTTTCTAGTTATACATAAAAATATTTTAGTTTAGACTAATAATTGTTACTAATTTGATGAATTCATTAAACAGACTGTTTTATAAAACACAGTATATAATTGAACATAACTGAAAACCAGCTCTTTCCGAGTAGAATAACACCCTTTTATTTTGGTGGTTGTCATCTGAAAAACTATACTTGAGAGCACAATGTGTCCTCTCTAGGGCTATTTCTTTGCTCCAAGTCCTTCTTATTTTTTGTTTTCTATTTTAAACAAAAATAAAATTAATTTGTTGGTTTTTTTTTCAAATTTTGTTCTCTATGCAGTGAAATACCTGAATTTAAATGAATTATGAACATACATACTGTTGACAGGTAAGAAAAATGTTCTATAAGACATACTTCTTACATTAAATGTACAGAGGTATATTAAGTAGTTACCTATGTATTGAGACTAGATTACATATAGGCACTCTGTATTTCAATGTACATATATGCATTATTTTAACAAGAATTCTGAAAGAAGACAATTTCCTAATGTGCTAAAGTCATAGACTATAAATACATGGTTCAAATACTAGCTTTCTGATTTCAAATCCATATTATTTCCATCATACACTGTCTCTCAAATAATTCTGTAAGAAAAACCAGAAATGTACTTTATTTTAGCTTATAAAATTTTACCTAGATTCTACATATTGTCTCCCTTAAGGCACCTTTCATTTCAAGAAATTCTCTATCCTGAAATCACTGGTTTTTTCTTGATTGCTACGTTTAGTCCAAACAGAATTACTTTGGGAATTTTCATCACTCTGAATTATCTGTATCCATATAAAACTAGTTTGAAAAATCAACTAATCTTGTTTTTTGTGAGAGGTTTTTTGCTATAGGGCGCGTGCGCTCGCCAGACAGACAGAGATAGACATAGAGACAGAAAGCGAGAAATCATCCTCCAGGGGGGATGGTCACGCCGCAATACCTTCTCCTCCATTCTCCTCTCGGGATCTTGGGCACGCACGCACGCACACGCGCCCAGCGTGAGTTTTAAGCTGCCGGGTCCGGGACGCGAACCGTGGTCGACTACGTGGGAGTCCAGCGACATAGCCATTACGCTAACTGCTGGTTCCCAAAAATCAACTAATTTTAATATAC